TTTATGTGTTTTCTTTTTTAAATAAAAACTGACGGGAATGTCAATCAAAAAGTTAAACCCTTAAAGAATTAAACATTTGAAGAGTTAAACGCTAATCAGTTGAGTTTGTAATTGAGGAGTGGCACTTTAGATCTTTACTGGATACTAGTTTGTATTGTTTTTACAGTACAAATATTCAAAATGTGGAGTTTTAAAAAAGTTTAGTTGGCGCAAAGAGGTGGAAAATCAATTCTCATTAATAAAACCCTCACTTTTGACGATTCAGTAACCCTTATACTATCTTAATTTTGAGAATTATTTCGTCACGTAATCACGTGATTGTGACGAAACTGGAAATCTCAAATCTATGACAAAAATGCTTCCGCAACTCTAAACCTTATCGAAGGGCAGTGTAGGAAATTATTAACTGGAATGACGAAACTAGAATGAAGACTAGACGATCAAAATTAAAATGACGAAACAAGGCGATCTGCTTCTATGTTGGTCAAAGAGTAGGCCTCGTACCAGGAATATCCTGAATTCAAAACCCGCTTCAGGAATAAATGTAATTTATCTCTCTGTACTACTATTTGTTTTCCATGCGTTATTAAGGTGGAATCGACCCGGTGCCCATGATAAAGTGATTATTAGGAAAATTAGGTACATTAGGCACTACGAGTTTTTTTTTTTTTTGAGAAATAAATAGAATGCCGAAATATTTTGTTACTATTGACGAAACTCGCTTTCTCGAAAAAGGGACAATAGCTATTTCGTTATTTTGACGGAATGTTCGCTCGGAACATATGCTAAGAAATGGTTTCGTCAAAAAACGAAGAAAGTCTCGTGAAATTTGAGTATCCATTTTTTACAATGTAGAGGTAAACAATAGTTACACTTATCTACGAAAGTAAATGAACACATATCTTTATAAATTATTGAATATATTTATAATGAATACAAATACGCGCTAAATAATGTGAACAGCACAACTAATAACACTTTGATTTTAATGCATGATTGATTAACAATTAAATGTTTGTAAATTAGTTTGTACGAATATGCGAATAATATATTATTCGGCATACAAAGAATAAACTTTTTCTATAGAGATCTTAACAATTATTTCCTTTAATTATATTTCATTATATGAGTGATAAAACGGTTTTCCCCCAACACTGCATTCAAATTTTATAAACCATGGTTTTAAAAAATAGAGATTTATAGGGATATTCAGTTTCGATAAGAACACGTTGGAAATAAAAGTATTTCCATTCATTTTAATAAACTTAAATAAGCATTGAAATGAACTAAATATCACAACGAGATATTAATCAACATGAGAATTTTAATCAATTTGTACTTAGACCACTTAACCCGATTATGCATCTTCGTTCCCATTAAAAGAATAACAACTGAATCTCGCACCTGGCAACAAATGAAAACAAATTCAATCCCATTGGAATGCAGAGAATAGTATGCTACAAATTGATTAAAATGTTTGTAAGGAATAAAATATATTATTTTCAGAGAATAAAGGCATGCATTCCGTTTGTAATGAATAAAGTTTTGTTATTTATCTTCTTTTGTGACACAAAGGTAACAAAGAATGTACATTGAATTCAATTATTTGCGTGGTGAAATGTTTTACAAATGGCATGAAATTGAATTACGAAAATAATTGATAGCTATCATTAACGAATAATATTAATGGTGCTTTCATAAATTTGATGGAAGTTGTTCCTGTTAGGTGGCGAAAAATTCATTGCGTTTTTATGAAGACATTGGCAGTAGTAGTAATGATTTGTGGTATATTGCGCTTCTTATGATATAAGGATTTATTCCAGAGAATTAAGCAAAATTGTTTTTTTAAAAAGGACTTGTTGCTTTATTTTTTTAGAAATACTACAAGATACATTATTGCCATTAGGATATCAAAATATAAAAAAAAATAAAAAGATGCTCCCTTATAGGTATGAATAGATGCATATTTCTAACGTGAAGAAAAGTTTTGAAAAGTTTCACAAGCGGTCAGACCTAGGGGGGGGGGAACCTCGGTTCTAATCCCTAGAATTCAGAACTAAAAGTCATTGAATTGTTCCCAACTGACAGTTAGGAGCATGGGATGAGATTCATAGTTGGCGCTTTATCGAAAGATAAAATAGCCAAAAACAAAGCCAAGCCCGCGTATTTAATATTCAATTTGAAAATAATTTAACTATAGCTTAAGTGCTAAAAAGACCGGGGGAATTAATGTATCCCTGTAACTGAAAAATTGTTGTGGCAATAGAAATAAAGTAACTTGAATAAAGAGTTAAACATTTATTTTGAAGTTTGATTTAGTCGCGACAGTGAATTAATGAGCTTTACATTTGTGTTGAATTAAAAAGTTAGTCGTTATTGATTGTTAAGAAGATTATAAAATATTCATATAATTAAATAATTGGTTTAATTTAATTAAAATTAGAATAAAAACAATTAAAAAAATTCAATTTATGAGATTAAAGAAATTTTAAAATCTAGGAAATATGTAATGCATATTATGGCATCACAATAAACATGAATAAAATATTATCTTGAATTAATTTAGGAAAAAATGTTATAATGCAATCTAAGAAATAAGTCAGTAATGTTATCTCACACATTTCTTATGTTGTCTAAGATATTTATGAGATAATTTTTAAAATAATGCTGTACTGGAAAAATGGACTGTCATCTATAGAGGAAGCAATGATGAAATTAATTTTTTTCTAAGATTCTAAAAACAATAAGTTCCAATCGGATATATTTTAATGTATTGACCTCAAAATGCTATTCTATAACTAAATAATTATTTTCACTTATTTAAATATAAACAAGCGTGATCAATCTGTTGTAAATAAGCTTAATTGCTAAACAGAAGAAGATTACGGGTTTGAACAATGCAAATTATGAAACGAATTTTATGTCCCGAAGACCTTTAGTACAAATGTAGCAAAAAAGACAACAATTTTAAAATTTGAACTAATCAAAATACATTGAATAGATCAAAATAAGAAGACTCCGAAACCATTACCTTATTACATATGTGGATCGAGAATTAAAGCTTCTGGGAACTAACCGATAGATGGCGATAGCAATAGATAGAGTCCAGTAGCTTGAAGAAACAAGTTCAGCCTGCAACAGGCTGTGAAACTTTCGAAGTACTCCCACAAATTCAAATTTTATGTTTGCCTTTATTGTTAGAATCAAGCAGTCATCTGCTATTCCTATGATTTAAAATTCATAAAAAAACACCAAAAAGCTGTATGAGTTGCCATTGTAGCGTTGCTTATTTCCTACCTTTTAGCGTTCCTACCTTTTAGAGTTCATAAATTTAAATTTTTTCATGATTCTTAATCCTGTTATGATTAAATTAAATCAATTATTAAATTTTTATCACTTTTTATAAAAAGTGAATATAAATACTTTTATTCATTTCTTAATAACAAATGCAATGACTAACTTTTTAATTCATTGAAAATGCATTAATTAACATTGAAAATGTATTAATTAAATGTATTAATTAAATCATCAATGCACTGTCGCGACCAAATCGAATATCAAAATTATTTTTTTAACTTTACTTTTCTTTAAACTACTTTCTTTCTCTAACCACAGAAACGTTTCAGTTACATTATTAAATTAAATTCTAAAAGCCTTTTCTGTGATTTAGTTGCAGCCAGGTTACTTAAAATTTAATATTAATACCACGGGGTTGACTTTAGTTTTGACTATATTATATCTCGGTAGTTAGTCAAAATTTGAATCTCTACTCATACTTCCGATACCAACTATATATTTATTGGAAATTTGAACTTCTTGGATTTAAGACTGGAGTATTTTTACCCCTCAATCTGATCGTTAATAGTTCTGCAAAAATTGTTAAGTTAAAAGGAATACATAAGTAGAAACTGTCTTCATCTCTCAAAAAAAAGGTGCTTAATATTTTATTTTGTTTTTCAAGTTATAAAGTATGACCGCATTTTTTAATTTTTTAAAATGATCCATGATGCATTGTTAGAAATTTCGCGGAAAAAACGGTTAAATAACAATTTATTGAATGGTTATTTTATCATATGTAATCAAAACAGTCAAATAACCTATATATAAAATGGTAATCAAAGTGTTAAGTTTGAGAAAAATTGTTTATTAAATGCTTTCACCTAAAACAGTTAAGCAATCAGAATTTTATCGCACCAATTAGAACGACCTAATGAAGCTACTTAGTTCTTTGCAAATGTGTCCAGATAATAGCCAAGCGGGCTCATCTGTCAATCTCATAACTGGCAGAACAGGAGTTCAAGTCCTAGTGTTGACACTACAATATTTCCTTCACTCCTTTCAACACATGAAGAATTTCCAGTGTCCGACACTCTCCAATGCCCATTACCATGCGAAAAGCCGAGCTTCTATGTCTAGTAAAACAATTATTATTTTTTCTTACGTTTTTGAAAAATGCTAGTTGTAAATGATTAAAAAACCGTATAGTTTTGCATTTATTGTTTTATAATCATACCTCTTGTATATGGTTTTAAACCCATAAAAAATGTTCTTTACCGTAAACTTTACGGTTTATCAGATGGACAGACAGCTGCCAGTTATTTTACCATAATTTTAGAATAAAAATTTTATCAGTGTAAAGCAAGAGATTTTGCTTTGTTCTCTGCAGTATTCCTGTGTTGCGGTGCGATGACTATGCAAAAGAAATTTCCACTATTACCAAATCTTTCGCGATACTGTTTCTAAGTTATTACTTCTTCGTAGCTTTTTGTAAATCATTAATCTGTCAAATTTTTAAAAATATTCGCGTTATTCCTAAGGACCAGTGGCTGATCCAGCGGGGAGGTCATAGGGTCATGACCCCCCCCCCCAAAATAGAAAAAAATAATAATAATAATTTTCTTAATAGTTTACAAAAGAAATTAAATATTTTTAAAATTATTTAAGGGGACATATATACCTAGGTTGGTCGGAAAAAGCGATTTTTTTTCCTCCGTCTAATTATGTTCTTCACTATTTCAAGCCGAGCTTTCTTCAACAGGTTTAGCCAAAGATTGTATAAAGGTGAAGATGAGAAACTTGCGAAACTCGTAACTAAAATCGTATAGTATGGATTTTATATAAATGACAATGATTTAGATGATTTTAAAAAAGCTTCTTTACTCGAACGCCACTGGTCACCTCCTTCGGATTATAAGTTCCCTTGTTGTATTGTCAATAAAAAAGGAAAACCAAAAGAAGATCTTAGAGCCGTTCGTGAAACTGCAGAGCTTCATAAGAATCTCTTAAATGCTCCCGTAAAAGTTGTCGAAACAGAAATTCGTCTTTGGGTGGCAAGATGACAGCGTGAAACGGAAGCAGGACCCAACGATCCTTCAAGGATTATTAATGCTTGTGACATCGATTTGTACCCATCAATCAATATGTTGTTGAGAATTTTAGTAATTCTGCCAGTTACTGCAGGAAAAGCAGAAAGTTCCTTTTCAACTCTTCGACGTTTCAAAACTTGGCTTAGAGCAACTTAAAATCAAGAACGATTAAATGGACTCGCATTATTAAACATTCATTGAGAAATTTATTTGGATATTGAAAAAACCATTGACTGATTTGCCAAAGTTTCTAAAAAGCGCATTACATTTCATTATTTAAAGATTTAGAATACTTGAATTATTTATGAATTGTTCTATTGTTCATTATGAAAAAAATAAATGCTAGCATTAAAAACCCCAGTTTTTTTTTCAAAAAAAAATATCAAAAAGAAAATTTTTTATTAAAAAAATTAATTGTGTGGGGGGAATCTGAATCTATGACCCCCTACCAGGAAAAATTTCTGGATCCGCTCCTTTTAAAGACTTTAGAGAATAAACTTACATTTCATATTTACTGGGAACATAACATGTTCATAAACATGTATTTTGCTATGTCTTTCAACATGTTCTTTTATTGAATCTCGTTAATGCGCTCCAAGAATTTAAATCATTCTATCATAGTTGTTACAATGGTGTATCATGAGCATTGTTGGTTATTCAAAAAATTGCAGTATTGGTTTCCTGAACAGTAATTTTACCCGGACTAATTTAAGTGATTCAGTGCTAAAGTATTTCTTTATGTGCCGATGCGAACACGTGATTTATGTATAATACATATTTTCGAAAAAATTTAATAATGCTGTACTTCTTTTCTATAAAAACCATATTTCTTTTAAAAAAAACCATATTTCTTTTTATGTTTTTATTGCTCAATTTATAAAGCATTCCTTTTTTTCTAATGCTTTTTTAATTTTGCAGGTGTTCATCACTGTACAAAAATAATAGAAAATACCAATGGAAATGTTATTTTTGATGAGGTAAATATTTACATTATTATTCTTAGTATTATTATTTAATTAGCATTGCTATATTTACATTATGCATAGATTTTTTCTCAAAAAGTCGACTGGGAAATTAACTTTTTTAATTCTTAAAATTACTGATCACATAACTATCAAAAGTTTTCTAATTAACTATCCAGTTATTTGCATTGCATCAAAGATAAATGTTAAAAACTTAAGAAACTATTAGCTATTTATACGTGTTATTTCCTTACCTGGAAAGCAGTAAAGATATTTTTTCTTATGCGAATATTTTTTATCGTTCAAAATTAGAAAAATATAAATAGTTTATATTATTCATTGATTTATTACTATGCATTATATTAATCTGTATTATTTTTCTAGAAAGACTTATATTTATTCTAGTTTATAGCTATATTTTTAATAATATATTTAAAATAAGAAAGTTAAAATTTTTAAAAGAAACTAGCACTTGTACACAAAGTGTTAAAGCCAATTATTGCATTCATTCTGGAAGTATCTTATTTTTTAAAAAAAAGTACATTTCTGCATTAAATCAAAGCATTTAAGTAATTCTAATAATGCCTTAAATAGCATAAAAGAATAAGAATCTATTTTTAAAAATTAATTTACTGGCATATTCTTTTAGAAATTAATTTTAATTTTTGATATTTTGTCAATTTTAATTATAAGCTCTAATAATAGTTTCATATTATCCGTATCAGGTTTTGTTGCTGTATCAAATTTCATGAGGCTCTTGTTTATAAAATTTGGTTTCTTCAAAAATAGTAACAATTTATTATTTCTTTTTTTTGTTGTTGTTGTCAAAATAAAAAAATAAATAATTGTATCTTATTCTCACCTCTAAATTTGTGTTTCAACTTTGTAATACCATAAACAAGTGTTACTGTACTTGATGCGATGTGATTATAAAATAGGCCTACCTTGGACAAATATCGCAACCTTGTTGCATAAATGCTCCTAGTGAAAGCCAAAAACTGTTGTAGAGTGAAAAATCATTGGCAACTGAAAGACCATTTTAAGAATCTTCATATCGCCACTCATGTAGTGAGAAGCGACTCACCAAAAACAAAACAACTGAGATTCCAACATATATAACTCCTTTCTTAATTGTTGACGAAGTCTACAAAATGAATTATTAATTGATCTATTCAGATTATACTAAACTACTATAATTAAAGAATTTTCGTATCGCCACTCATGTGGTAGAAGTGACTCACCAAAAACAAAACAACTGAGACTCCAACATATATAACTCCATTCTTAATTGTTGACGAAGTCTACAAAATGAATTATTAATTGATCTATTCAGATTATACTAAACTACTATAATTAAAGAATCTTCATATCGCCACTCATGTGGTGAGAAGCGACTCACCAAAAACAAAACAACTGAGACTTCAACATATATAACTCCATTCTTAATTGTTGACGAAGTCTACAAAATGAATTATTAATTGATCTATTCAGATTATACTAAACTACTATAATTAAAGAATCTTCATATCGCCACTCATGTGGTGAAAAGCGACTCACCAAAAACAAAACAACTGAGACTCCAACATATATAACTCCATTCTTAATTGTTGACGAAGTCTACAAAATGAATTTTTAATTGATCTATTCAGATTATACTAAACTACTATAATTAAGGAATCTTCATATCGCCACTCATGTGGTGAGAAGCGACTCACCAAAAACAAAACAACTGAGACTCCAACATATATAACTCCATTCTTAATTGTTGACGAAGTCTACAAAATGAATTATTAATTCAGATTATACTAATTCTCATGTGTCTTCAGCACTATTGGCTTTCTTTATTTGCAAATTATAGTTTAAATTTGCTTTATATATTTTTTTAAATTGCAAAGCTACGTCATGTTTTAAATTCCAGAAGAAAGAATTAAAAAAAAGAAAAATTCCAAGAATTAAAAAAGTTTATTTTTCAGTAATTAAAAAAATATTATACTAAATCACTCTAAATCAAAAATATTGTTTTAAAAACTAATCTTTTTTCAAATTATTATTTTAGCAAAATATAAATATTTTCTCCCCCAGTTATCCATATACTCACTAACTTTAACATCCAACTTTTTAGATAAAAAATTGAAACTTAGACAAAGCTTAGACCAATTTTGTACAAATTTCAATTATCTTACGACCGTCTATAAATATCTTTACGCTTTTTTTTATTTAATATTATTCTCTATTTCTATTTTATGTGTATCCTTCTTTCTTTTTGCTGGTTGTATTATTTTTTTAAAATATGTACTCACTTATTGTTGTTGCTACTAAAAAGGAAAGAAAAAGAAATTTTAGATACAAAACTGGCTCGTGTAATCTATTTTTACTGTATTCTTCTCGTATTACCATTGACATTTTTTAATAAACAAATAAATGATTACAGGTAATACATGCATTTTATTTATGTGTTACTCATACTATTTTATGTATATAGACATCTTACTCCATTACATCATTATATGAAGAGAAGGTTTATATTTATGTCATATAAGATTCATTATTAAACATTAATTACAATATTAAACTGAAAATCTTTGTTTATAGTGGTTCGAATGGCCAGTGGGTAGTCCTGTTCAGAGCCATGAAGTTTTAGAAATTGTCCTTCTTAATTACAATAAATACTTTTCAAATAAGTAAGTATAAAAAAATTTCTAAAATTAACTAAAATAACATAGTTTTTTAAATGAATTCCTTATAATTCATATGTTAATTCACAAATTCATATGTTAATTCAACATGAATAATGTCGCACTCAAATTTTATATGTAGAAAATTATAAGGAAAGAAATTGTTTTACGCATTACGTTTTTATGAATTCTTCTATTTTTTTTTCAAAATAATCTTTTCAACTAGGAATGTTTTAAATAATTTTTTAGCTCATTTCACGAATGAGATATTAATATTTAAAATATTACAGGAAAATATAACCTGTACGTTAATTGATATTGCTTCACATTTTTAGTTCTTTTCCATTCTCATTGTCTTCACAACAAGCATCATAACGATTTCTTTGCTCAAGTCCCTTCAACTATAAATACCATTTACTCAATCCTTTGAATTTATGGAATAAAAGAGGTTGAGAGAACCAAACCAGATAAATACATTAGATAAATCCTTATTCAAATCTTTCTATCTACTCCCAAAACTTAAAGTGTTCATTTGAATCCCTTTTGACAATACAAATAAATTTGATCATGCATTTTAAAGCTTTACACGTAGCTTCAGCAAGTGTCGCTACCCACAGCTTTGAAAGCAAAGGTACTTAGTTTAGGTAAATAAATGCTGCAGAACAATATCTTATTATTTCTATCTAACTTCAAAGACTTGATATAAAAAAATAGCTCAATTTTGTAATTATTTATCTCAGAATGTAGTTTATCGTTTACAATTTATGTACTGCTCTAGTAAACAGTAAATATAAGAGTGATATATAGAGACTGATATACAGTTAAATTAATGCTATATCTTAAAAATATTTTTCCAAGACCATTTTGAAATAATTTTTCTGAAACGATAAATTCTCTGGTGCAGACGCTTATTTTCTTAAAGCAATTTTGAATAAACATTCATCATTTCTCTGCCATATTCATTTTCATATTTGCATTTGAGCCGTTCATTTTAAAAGTGGTACAAATCAATTTCCGAAGTGTTCTAGCTGCAAGTTTGATGTTTTTATTTAAGCGTTACTGTCTTTTTTCTTCTTTTTTTAAAATTCCTAGCAGATTGTGACTGACATAAAATAGAAGTGAAAATCATTACAAATTTTAATTCAAAACCTCATGTACATAACCTAAAGATTAGAGAAGTTTTATTAGTATAATTAATATAATATAATTAATGTAATAATTAATATAATATAATTAATGTAATAATTAATATATCAGTATAAATAATGTAGTAAGTAATAATCTTATTACCTCCCATAGCTCAACTGAAATTCGATGCATTTTTTACCAGAAACACTTTTGTGAACACTTATTCTTCAATTCTTCAATTATTCTTCAATTTAGAGAATTCAAGGGTAATTAACGACATAAATCAGGTTATAATTGATTAATTTCTTCTAATTGAAAAAAAAAAGATCTTCGTTGCAATCTCAATAAAAATATTTTTTTGTATTACGTTGTATACTCTCACAAGGGACCGAGATTTATTTGTATGGAGAACTTAGGGTAATAAATTGTTGAACCTCATTTGCATTAAAGGTGGCCTTTTTTTTATCAAAGGTACTTCACAAGTTTACAATTTCTTGCCAGTTACTACATTTACTTAGCAAGATCTCTGATATTTTATTAGTACAATTAATATAATATAATTAATGTAATAATTAATATATCAGTATAAATAATGTAATAAGTAATATATCTTATTACCTCTCATAGCTCAACTGAAATTCGGTGCATTTTTCACCATAAACACTTTTTTGAACTCTTATTCTTCAATTCTTACAAGTTTATTCACTTCCACTCAATTAATGTAAGAAAAAAATTTAACGTAGACATAGAAAATCGGAGAGAAATAATCCCTATTCTTGTACACTCTCACAAATCGTGGTTCGGCATTAAAACCGTAATGTACCGTTGAGCCATAATACGGCTCTAATTCGCTGCAACCTTAATAAAATTCTAAATTGAACCATGTTTCGGTTCAAGTTGAACTTCAGTTTCATGTAATCGAAATTAAGAAGTTCGATAATGTATTTTATACTTAGAACTTTATCACAAGTGTAGCAAGTCTTAATTCCACAGCAACTTCAACTTTTAATTCAACATTCAGCGGGAAAGATTGTCAGAAGTTTAAAAAAAGTTGATCCTCGATTTGCTAATGAAATCTTTCTGCCAGTTAGATTAAAGACACGGTTCTGTTTAATTGCCTTAAAATAAAAATAAAGCCATGTATGCCGTCTTGCAATAAAAAATAATCTGGAATTTAGAACGGTTAAATAAGTTAAGTATTCGAAATGTTAACATTTTAAAAAGCTCGTCAACTTTAAACTTGCTGATTTTGGCAAGCTAAATGTAATTTTAAATCACTTAACAAACCTCAACTTTTGTAAACATGAATATGGTGGAATTTCATTTCAAATATTGAAAATTTAGGTTAAAAGAGCTTATAATATTTATAAAAGACTGGTTAAAATTGATACAATACAACTGATAAAATTGATACAATACAACTGATAAAATTGATACAATTTCTGATAAAATTGATACAATACAACTGATAAAATTGATACAATACAACTGATAAAATTGATACAATACATTTCGCTCCATTTTTCCTTGTCAGGATAAAAAATAATTTGAATAAAAATTAACAGAACTTAACACTCATAAAAAATTGTTACCAATTCACAACAGTTATAAAAGCAATATGATAATCTCTACAAAAATGGTATTTCCTATAACGGTAAATTCTTTGAAAAACAATCTTAAGGTGGTTTAGCACTATAAGCTTCGTTTTCTTCTTTAACTCTGATTTTCATATTTCTGTTTTTTCCAAATATTTTTTGATTTTTAGCTTAACTAAACTGCAAAATAGATTAACACACCAGTCTTCTTCACAACCGGCTTAACATTCCTTCGACACAGAATTTTCATTAAACATAGTTTCATTTTTTTTCACTATTTTGTATTAATTTAGGTCAAAATAAGTGAAAATATTATATTTAGTATTTTAATAAGTTTTAGTTATGAAATACAGCATTGGGTTCCTTTCTGTGAAAAAAGCCAAATAATAAAGCCACAGCCCAAATATTTTTTTGTTTCCAATTCGCCTTTCAATGCAATTATTTAGATCTAAGAGAAACAGTAATTCATCATTTAAATTCTTTTAATTTATAAAATTAGTTATTGATAAAATTTGGAATATGAATGAAAACAAAATTTCAGACTTTTTTTTATTTCAAAGTTTGGCACAATTGTAATTCTGATAATCTAATTTCTTTTTTTAGTAACTATTAGTCAGTTTGTTGTAATTAAAAATACTAAAATATAATTTTGCCTGTAATCAGTGAGTCAAATATTTATATGCATAGGCATGTTTCTACGTAATGATTAGGTCAATAATTTTATATTGCTTTTTTTGCTTAGGAACGTAAAGAATAAACACGTAATCACACGTTTCAACACGTAAAAAACAAATCATTATACTACTTTGAGCCGTCACGAATTTTGTAAAATACCTATGCAATATTACTTTTTTTTGCATCACTCTTTTATGTTCTTCATAACTAAAGTAAGAGTATTCAGATAAATATTATGATCATCATAAACATTAAGAATAGCAAGTAATTGAGTTTGCACACGAAACAATGATACAAGGTGATTAAAAACAGCATCTTAATTTTAAAAGTGCGTGTTTCACTTATAAGCTGTATTTTTAAAAATAATTAATTTGCTTTAAATGCATTATAGCTAATGAATAAATCTAATAGCAATCATTTAGCAATTGTAAACTTTAAAAATTCTATTTAGCTGTTAATCATACGTTTTTCTTTTACCAAACAACAAACGTTATGGTTGAAAATGCCTCTTTTTGTTGTGCTTTTAAAAAGGTTATTTTCCTTTCATTGATTTTCAATGTTTATAAACAGCCAGCTCAAACAACTATTATATTTCATGCTTCTGTCACTATGAATTACTAAATTCTCTGTATTTGAATTTTTCCTGCATAATTAACAATAAAAAATTTTAAATAATTTTTTTCGATGGAAAAATTATTTAATTGTATTTAATTTATGTTTCAATTACGTAGTAGTAGACGTTACATTGTACACAAAATTTCACATAAATGCTACGATATAGTAATAACATTCCGACAATACTATTCTTGCAAGAAAGAAATCATAACAAAAATTATTTGTGCACATTTAATTAATTTGTAACTCAAGAACTTAGCATTTTAACTTTATTTCAATTGTTTTTTGATCGTATTTTAATTACTTCTAGTGTGCATATCACTTAATCAATTTGAAAACATTTTACCCTTTGATTCTTATGTAAATAGAAATATATTATACTGGCAAAATATCTTTGATAAAATTACCGTACAGTTTGGTAATAACAATTCTGGTAAATAAACACTATTATTCTGATTATTAAAATCAAAACATAAGGCATTTGAACTATTTGATGGTTTTTCTGCTCGTGGTAACGGTTAATAGGAAAATCTGCTTTTCAAGTAAATTCAACCGAAAAAATTTGTATGGCAGGCTCTTGAGGAATCATGATAAAACTATCAATTTTACCACCCTTAACCAAATTTTATGACTTACAACAGAACCATATTTTATTGATAATTTTACAGAAATTATTAACAAATCGAGTTGGTAGAAATTATCGATGTCTTTTGTGCTTCCATAGAGACAGAAGTTCAGAAAATTTTACCATAATCTGGTAGTTTTCCCCATACTTTTTTCTTAGCTTACCATTAATGCAATACCATTTTTAAAAGTAAACCACAATACAAAACATATTATATTGCTACCATTAATGCAATATCATTTTTAATGCAAAACACAACACAAAAAATCACTAATCTAATGAAATATATTTATTAAAATAATTAGAATTAGAATTCAAGTACGAGGATTTTATTATAACATTTTATTCAATGTTTCATTCAGTGTTTC